CAGAGGCTGGATGGCCATCTGTCAGGGGTGATTTGAATGCAATATTCCTGCTTCTTGGCAGAATGGGGTTCACCTGGATGGCCCATGAGATCTCTTCCAACTCATTGATTCTATGATTCTATGATTCTATGAATATACAGTTTAGTAGCTGGCAAAAATACTGGCTAGTATTTTTGAAAACATATTCTGTTTTACCTACAGCTGGAGTTTGTTTATCCTGCATGTTTATGTATTGTTATAAACCTCATATTCAAGTTCTTTATGATTTCCTGAGATTGTTACCGGTATTTCTGGTATCCACAGGGAATCTATTCTAAGACATATTGTAGATACCTGAAACCATAAGTAATATAGAAGCCTATATTTTGACTATGCCAGGACTAAAAAGCATACTATAGAATCACCCTGGAGAATCTAGAGAGATCTATAAATGCAGATTCTGCATTCATAGATTCGGCCATCCACGGCTTTAAAACCATCTGTGCATTTATCTAAACTTTCTTGAACAGAGAGAGTTCCTGTTTCAAAACCTCACCCACCCAAAGTGCCACGGATTGGGTTGGCAGGTGTACAAAATCATACATTAAGCAGCAAGATCTGCTAAGCCGTTGATGTGTGGGGGAGAATGGAAAACAGCTTGACAATTCCTTCCCATCCTACCAAGGGAGGGAAAGGGAAGTTTGCTCATTATGCCTCCTTGCCATTTCCTTTTCCTGCTCCCTTTTGGGAAACGACGACACAGACAACAATTAGCCCTCGAGTTGTTCTTTGCTTTCCGAGTGGGGCCCTCTGAGCCATAGTGTCGAGATAACTAGAGCCAAGGAGACAACTCCATTACGGGAAGAGGAGACGCCAAGATGTGCTTTGACAATCTTTGACACGCATCACCTTGTGTTTCTTTCCCTCCCCTCCTCGGTGGTGGCATGACATCCGCTTTCCAGAACTCCTGCCATTTCCCGATCAATGCCGCGGCACACTCCTCTTTATTGCTTCCATGTTGACGAGATGTTATTAAAATATTATGACATCACCCCGCTGTAATAAACTCCCTGTTCAATGCTCGGTGACAAGTGGTTGACAGGCCTTGCTTGAGGCAGGCTTCTGACACTCTTCGTGCAATATTCAAAGGGTGTCTCTTTCTCTCTCTCTCCTCTGAGCCCACCTGCCCCCAACACCACTCAATGGGTATGTAACTCATCCTGGAACATCTGGATGGAGGCAACGTCTCTTGCATAGCTTTGCTTCAACTGGCCATCTGCTTACCTGTTGGCTCCTCCTGTTTCTTTCACTGTCTGGCAAAGTTTCCTACTAAACATCCCATACTAAACTCAAATTGAACATGGCATGAATGGGTCTATGGGTTTCTTCTCCCAGTGTTCATTGGGACAACATGAAGAACTTTGGGCCAGAAGTGTAGCACAGCTGGTAAATCATCAGCAGTTATGAGATCTATCAACCAGAAGGTTGCAAGTTTGAATCCCCAGGTTGGCATGAGCTGCCAACTGTCAGCCTAGCTCATTGTTTACCTAAGCAATTCGAAAACAGCTTTAGGTACCACTAAAAGCGGGGGAAGAAAGAAGATCAGAAAATGCTGGGCGACCAAAAGGAAGGAGGAAGTCCTGACAGCTCTTCATCATAAAGAGCAAAAGTACCCCCTGGACTCGAGCCCAACCTTCCAAGGCACCTCCTTCTGTTCTGTCTGTCTGTGTATTGTCTATACAAAGAGGCATTGAATGTTTGCCGTGTATGTGTGCTGTGATCCACCCTGAGTCCCCTTCGGGGTGAGAAGGGCAGAATATAAATAAAGAATTATTATTATTATTATTATTATTATTATTATTATTGTTGTTGTTGTTATTAATTGGATTAGAAAGGAGATCCATCAGATCAATACTACTAAACTAAATGAGCCATCAGATGTGTCTAAGCATAGAATCATAGTTAGATAAGACTACAAGGGTCATCCAGTCCAACCCTTTGCCATGCAGGAAGACACATTCAAAGCACTCCCATCTTCAGACAAAGAAACTCCACCACACTCCATGGTAACATATTCCACTGCCAAACAGTTCTTACAGCAGGAAGCATGAAAACCTTGGCTTTCTTTTGCTGCATGTCAATTGAGTTTTGTATCCAGTAGAATAGTGCATCAATATATACTAGTCAGAGAACAGCATGTTCTAGTGGATTACATGATGGACCAAAGTTTGATTCCTCACTCCACTATGGAAACCCACTGGGTGATCTTGGGCAAGTCATTCATACTCAGCTTCAGAAAACCCAAAGATGATAAGTTGACGCTTGGGTCACTATAACTCAGGCTGGATCTACACTGCCATATAATAAGTTTAAATCTGCATTATGCAGTCAGTATAAAGCTATACAATAGAGTCTCAATGGCTTTACACCACCTTGACTTTCTATGGGGAGAAAAGAAAAATAGCAATTAACCTCTTCTCTTGAAAGCATCTCAAAGCTTCCAGGTTTCTCCCAAACTGGTCATCCTCACTGGGCACTGGTCTCTTGTTATCTTTGTTGTTGTCCCCTCCATAAGAGGATAAGAAGAGAGCCCATTATCACAAGTATATGAGCAGGAGTCCGACTACTATTGGTTTTTCAAGGCTCCATGCAAAAGGTGAAAAATACATTTGGCCCCAATTTGCAAGATCATATGGCTAATCCTTTGCAATGTTGGCCTACAGCAGTGGTTCTCAACCTTCCTAATGCCGCGACCCCTTTATATAATTCGTCATGTTGTGATGACACCCAAACCTAAAACTATTTTTGTTGCCACTTAATAACTGGAATTTTGCTACTGTTATGCATCGTCATGTAAATATCTGATAGGCAGGATGTATTTTCATTCTCTGGACCTTGGGAATTGTAGTTGTTGAGATTTATAGTTCACCTACAATCAAAGAACATTCTGAACTCCACCAGAGATAGAATGGACCCAAACTTGGCACACAGAATGCCCATTTTTGCCATGACCAGCAAAAAATAATGAAAGTGTTAGGTGAGCATTGGCCTTGAGTGTGGGAGTTGTGGTTCACCTATCTCCAGAAAGCACTGCAGACTCAAACAATGATAGATCTGGACTAAACTTGGCACGAATACTCAATATGCCCAAATGTGAACACTGTTGGGAGTTTGGGAAAAATAGACCTTGACATTTGAGAGTTGTAATTGCTGGGATTTATAGTTCACTGACAATCAGAGAGCATCCTGAACCCCACCAACGATAGAATTGGGCCAGACTTCCCACACAGAACTCCCATGACAAGCAGAAAATACTGTGTATCCTGATGGTCTTTGGTGACCCTGCCAACACCCCATCGCGACCTCCACAGGGGTCCCAACCCCCAGGTTGAGAAACACTGGCCTACAGTCTTTGTTCTCCCATTAGGATAATGCATGAGGTGTATGGGAATTTGCAAAATGACTTAGAAGTCAGATGGAGTATCTATTAAGGCAACGACATGGGGAGAG